ATTAAAAATTTTTTCTAATACTTATGCAAATACATATACACAAGTATAAAAAATTTGAAAAACTATGAAATAAATCAGAATTTATAATTCTTTTCCGCTTCGGATAAATACAATCAATAAACTTTTTGCTTTTTTTGGGAAGGTAAACATTTCTTTATTTGAAAATCAAATTATAATTGAAAAATAGATGACCAGAACTTCAATCAACTTTTGATTATGATTTAGCGCAAAGTTTTTAATATTATTACAAATAATATAGATAATACAGATTTAATACAAATAACTTGAGAGCGTCACTTAATCAAATGGATTTTTCATAATTTTTGTTTTGTACAGTGCAATTATTGTTCCTTTGGTTCATTAAATCGTAAAATTGAGTCAAAAATACAAATATTACTTATATGTAGGAATTGATATTCTAATTATTTATTAAGTAAAAATTACTAGAATCCAAGCCGATTATTTACAAATGATAAGTTTGCGCCGGAATATTTAAACGAACTACTTAAGGTTTTATAACAAATTTTTTGACCTTATTTGATTTACAACACGACACGTTGCATTTGTTTAACTTTATCTAAATAAATTTTTTTTGCCCTTGGATCGCACTTTTCATTTTACTTTTGTATATTTAACAGCAAAGGTATTCTAATTTATTTTATAATGTTAATATGTATATAATAAAATGTCACGAATAATGTACAAGTATCCTTTAAATTATAATTAAGTTATAAATATTAATATCTTCGTTGTAAATTTTTCTTTTACATGCAAATATAAAATGGAGAAAGAATAAAACAGCATTTTGATAAAGTGAAATTTTGTCTTCTTCGCAAAGATAAGTGCAGAAATTAAAGAACAAAAGGTTTTGATAAATTTTAGTTACTATAAAGGTTCTAATTAAAATGTTTGTTGCTATTTAAGTATTACAAAATTTAAATTTTGCATAAATACTCGTAATAGAAAATCTTTTGACTTCAAAAAGCATTCGATGGCTCTTTAATAATAAAACATACGTATGTATACACATATATATATATATATATATATATATATATATATAAGTTCAAATGTATTAAATATTCTTCTAGGTTTTTAATAATACTACATTAAGAAAAAGGTCAACAAAAGCAAAAAATAAAAGTAAATAAAACATCAAAAATTCTTTTAAATTAAGTTTTTTAAAATAATTTCCTACTTATTTTAAAAAGAGGTTTTCTTTTTTAAATAAAAATTGTTAAAGGAAAACTTTTTCGAATTTCCTCATTTTTAAGTAATAAGTATTATTTAAAAATAAAACTTTTTATCTTAAAAAAGAACATTGAAACTGATTTTGTGTATGTGAAAGCATCTACGAGTATGAATAAAAACTTAACGAAATCAGATTGCTTTTTGACCTTCTAGAGAGTTTCTTTGAGTTTCTTTCATTAACAGCAAGAATTTGTTATGGTTGCCTTCATGAATTTTTATTACAAGAAAAAAAATTTGTTGTAAGAAAGTTACAATTTCGGTGTTTTTTGGTTCGTGAAAATTTTTGATTTTAAAGTTATTTTAAAGTGCTTTTATAAATACAACTTGCTTAATTGAAATGATGCACAAACTATAAGCCATTTCTCATATAGTAGTAAAAATATTAAGCAGGAACATTTATGCTAAATGTAAACAGTACTTACTTAATATTGAAATTAATATTGAATCAATTACTTAATAAATCTATAACACCGATTAAGGATAACTTTTTTGGTTTTGTTCGAATTGGTGTTAAAAAGTTCCTTTTAAAGGTAAATAATTAAAGTTAATTTCTATTAGGTGCTAATATTGGTATACTATAATATTAGTAACTCGGTACAACAAAAAACTAATCAAGAAAAAAAAGGGAATTTGTAACGACCAAGAGCAAGGTGTTAATAAATTCACATATTTTACAAAAAAAAAATATTTTTTTTTTTTCACATATTAATATCAAGCTCAAAACTGCATATATATCTATATATTCATCTAAGAAAGTCTAAGTTAGTTACCTTAGACGTTCAATTCCGTTTGAAAACTACATTTTTTTCGATATTAAACTATTTCAGCTTCCCTATCAAAACTATATAATTTTAATTCATCAGTTTGTTTAAAATGTACTCAAAATGATAAAGTAGCAAATCGAGTTAATGGAGAAAGTTAATGTAAACAGTAAATGGAAGAAATTCATTTTCTCTACTAAATAGTCATGCCCCAGTTTCATTGCGTCATTGGGTTTAAAACTAGCCTCCCGTAATTTTTTCTTTAGATTTTAAATATTTAAGCTAATTGATAATTTATAAGTAGTTTATTTTTTCTTATTTTGCAGTTTATAGCGACCTGGTCGGGGTTTGAACCCGAGACCATCGGTTAAAGGAACGATGCCATAGTCCCACTGGCATATTTTATTTCTAATAATACAGAGTGTTCAATTCTAAGCTATAATTACAGACAATTTAAGTAATTTTTTTTTTATATTTTTTACATATTTTTTACATATTGCAGTATGTGTATAGTTAATATTTATTGGCTTAATGATAAAGAAGAAATCATAAAATTAAGATTGAGAACAATTAAAATTGAGTGGTTGGATTTTTAAAAAATATTTTGATAACTACCCGTAATTTGAAAATGTAAGAAATTGTTAAGTAAGTAATAACATTTACTAAAAATGTGAAAATGGCGGCCGTGAATTATTTGAAAAATTCTAAAACGTATATATTCTAATAGGATTTAAAATTTGTAAAATACAAACGTTAAATTGGGTCATAACTACTTAGTGGTAACAAAGGAACATGATCTTTACAAGGCAGCAAATGTTCGTTGTGTCTAATTACTAGTAATATAAAGCCCGGAATTACGAGGCAGGATCTTTGATTATTACAAACTTTAAACAAATATTAAAATATCAAGTTTTGGAGCTATTACTTCGGAAACATAAATTGTCTTGAAAAAGAAAAATCAAATACTTAAACTTCATTATTATTTCTTTTATTCAAGAAAACATGCAACTAAATATTATATTTTCTGTACTTAAACAAAAATATTTATGTACTTATATATTTCTCCTAACATAAAAAATTCTGTACAAAAATATATGGCTATTAAATATAAGTAAACCACACATTAAAGTCTGAAAAATTGAAAATTGAAGAGTTTCTTATTTTAGCTACCTATTTATGTAAATTATAGTATAATTAAGTATTACTCAATTAATTATCATGTACTATGAAAATAATATTACAAAATTATACATTATTTACATTCATTCGTACACCAAATAGGTATTTAATTAATGTATAAATTTTTAATTTAATATTGGAAAATTTATTTAGAACTTATTTAGATTTATTAATCTATGCAAAAATTATATACGTAAGTATATGTTGTCGGCAGATAACTGAAGTAGCGTCGCTACTTCATATCGAAAGTGTGAACAAACAAATTTTTACATTACGTAGGTGCTCTAACATATGGATTTCCTGAGTAGATGCAGTTTCAAGTTAGCTCCCACAGTAAGTATAGTAAGTTTTCAAAAAATTGTCTGTTTATCATTTTTCAAAGGAAACTAATTACAGTAGAGTCCTATTGAAAAAAATACTTTTTACTTTTTGTCAATCAATTAATTAAAAAATTTGCAAAGTTTCCGTGTCACCACCAAGTATTTTTTAGAAAAATTAAAAAGGAAAATTTAAAGTTAGTGCAATCTTAAACCCTACTTAATGTATTAAATAGCATTACATGCGAAAATTATAATCAACTGCCAACAAAAATTTCAATAGAGAAATTCTTATTTCTTATTTCGTGAGATATTAATAATTTTATTTAATATTAAAATTTTATTGTGCATATGATATAAAAAAAACACACTTATTTTGGTAAAAGTGTAGAATATACTTTTTTTTAGCTATGTTGCATTTTTTATCTTTTATATGCGCAATAAGCAATTAGTCGAAATACGGCTACTCGCTAATATGAACAGATCTCGTGTTCTTAACTTATTGGCTAGATTGGAAAAAATTTGCAATGCTTACGCACAAATAGTTTTTCGTAATTTTATTTTTATCTTAGACCTACTTATTTTATTAAAATAAATATGTAGCTGCTTTTAATGTTACTTTTTAATGTTTTTAAGTGATACTTATTCATGGAACTTAATATTTTAATAAAGAATTAAGAGTAAGTATAACTATAAATTCGGAGAGTTTAATAAAAAATTAGGTGTAAAATAACTACGTTACAAAAAAATACTTAAGCAACTATATTTTATAGCAAAACATTATGGTTTCTTGGTTGGACGATCTTAAATTTTTTATTACTTAATATCCTTCCTCTTGCATACATTACTAAATATATTTGCCTTTTAGGTATTGTTAAATATCCTATAAAAAAACTTGAGAAAAAACTCTATTAAAATTAAGACAAAAACTTTTTTTTATTAAAGACAAAGAAATAATTAAATCTTTAAAAAATATCCCAACTAAGTAGTTAAGTGTTATTTAAGAAAAGTTTTTTATAATATTTGAAATTAAAAGTTTAATTTTAACTACTATTCTTATAAAAATTAAAAATACATATAAGATGAGAAAGAAATTATTAGTCCCTTTACATTTGTTTTTACCTTTTTGGTTTTTTACAACGAAATAAAGTATCATTTTCTAAAATTTTACAGGTAAGTAATTTGTATTTGAAAACCGGTTTTTGATATTTTTATTTTCTTCCTTTTTTTTATATTCTTCATTTTTTGGTTTTCTGTACTTTAATGGTGTATTTCTCTTATACTGGATGGAAGGTGAAAAGAAGAAATTAACTCAAAATTTAAGATTTTGTAAAATAAAAAAAAAATCTTAATAATAATTAAGCGTTGTTTGCCATTTTTAGATAATGGTTTTGTTTTTTAATTCATTTTAATTAGAATATAATTTATATTTCCGGTTTTAACTTTTCAATAAAATTTTTTAAAATAAAAAATAATTTATGTGGTTACTTACCTTTATTACTTGTTGTTTTTTTATTTGTAATTTTAAATTAAAATTTCTTACTGAAGTTTTAATTAAATCTGGTTTAACTGCTGAAAATAATTTTTAGATCCAATTTTGTTTATATTTCATTCCCGAATTATGCAAATAAATTTTTATTATTAATTACAATTTTCATTAAATATCGATTATATTATAATAATTTTTATAATTATCAAGTATTTTGTTTAATCACATTTTTTTTTAATTTGCAAAAATTTATCGATATTAATTAAATGTTTCCGGTATTATTAAAGGTAAATCCATTTTTCCAAATTCTTCTTATTTTTTTCTTTACAGTAAAATAACAGATGAATATTACATTTATGTGTGTGTGTAATCAAATTTTGCCACAATATTTTTTAATTGAAATTCTTTTTATGGCATTTCATATGCCATCCGATACAAATTAATATTTAAATCAATTTTCGCACACAAGATTATAATTATTATTATTTTTTCTTTTTTTTTATTTCTAATAAAAATATTTTTTTTTTCTAAAATTTTTTAATATTTTTCTTTTTTCACTTCATACAACTTTTGCTTTTAAATTTTAGTATAATTTATTAAAGAACTTTTACAATTAAAGCCGGATATACATTTTTTTTAATAATTTTCACACAAATATTTAATAAGTAATAATATTTATGTATTTCATTACAAAATACTCATTTTATTAATTTTTATAATATGATTTGATAGATTTTTCACAGAGAAATCAATTCCAAAATTTTTAATTTTTAAATAAAAATTCTTTCCGTAACCGACAAATAAACGTACTCATCTAACTCGCACGAAAGGTATATTGGAACTGAATTGAGAGCAAATGGAAACAAAATACAAAAGAGACCGCTTAAAAACTGTTATTTTGCTATATTTTCATAATGCCATTCTGTTACATATATACATATGCAGCAGTAAGTACGATTTTCTTTGCAATATAAATTTGATATTGAAAAACTCTCTCGCGTGTATTTAATGTATGTTCGTCGTGTGCACTTACATAAATACGTAAAAATTAAAAATGGTTTTCTTTCACTATTTTTTTGCGAAACAACTCATATCGTCGTGGTGTCAAATTTTCGAATGACTGAAATGAAAATAAAACAAAAAATTAATACGAGAATCGAATTTCAGAGAGCAAATGAAAAATATATTAAGTTTACAGTATTTTCGAATATATACGAGTATCACTGTTATGTTATTCTCAATTTTATTTTATTATTTCTTATTAGAAAAATAATATGTACTTCATTGGATTACACAAGTTGTCGTTGATGATTTCCTCGGTGATAGTTTAATAAAAATCTCGTTTTTGTTGATTTTCACTGTAATTTTTAGCAATTTTCTTTTTGATGTACACTATTATCAGAAAAGAGGAAAAGGGAGAAGGAATATTTTTTTTGGAATGGTGTACTGGAAATTTAATGGAAATTTGTTTAAAAATTCTATTTTCGGAAAAGTTGAGCAAAATTTAGTTTTATTTTTTACTCAAATGAAACTGAAAGTTTCTTATGATTTATGAATGATTATGGTTGCTTGGAAGAAATCAATTTGAGTTTGTGAATTTTATTTCACGAATTATTGAAAACTAATTTCCAGAGAAGCAACATGGTGCTTACTCGCAATAATAAATAAATTTATAAATAAAAACGCGTGCTAACAAAACTTGTACACTCTTTAAGATAGGAAGCTAAAATTTTGTATACAATTGATCTTTAGTAGCAACTTTGCCTATCGACCTCCTCTTACTTTTTTAAGGTGTAGCCCTCAAAAAGTGCTAAAAATATCATTTTTTGACTATTATTTTAATGTATTGAAGCTATATAAACATTATTTTTTTTGAAGTAATACACGTTCTGTATTACGATCTTATGTATTTCAATTTTTTAAAATTATTTTTAATGAAACATTCCTCAGGCATAATGGAAGAAAATTATTCATCCTGAGGCACGGGAGACACTACCCGTGTGGAAGTATAATTTAAGTTTTCATAAGAATCCCCGCAGTAAATTATAGAACTTATTAGAAATTAATTATCTTGTGATCGTTTAATTTCAATCATAACTTAATAAGAGAGACACAATAGATTTGATTTTGAATTTCATTTAACTTTGAATTAAGTTTACGCAATTTACGCTTTTTTAAAAATATTAAAGAATATTACTGGGAAAAATTTTGAATTCGGTTGTTTTTCACACATTTATATCAAATTTACTAATAAAGTCTAAGCTGACAAAACTTGAATACTGCTGCATTCGTTAAATTTTATACACATGTAAATCACTATTAGATCACTTGTTAGAAAAACATCAAAGAAACAATAATTGAATTTTTAACATTTTAATAATTTGACGTTATAGTGGAAGAAACATTAGACACAATTTAGCTTGTAAAATTAATTGTACCCGATCTAGATCTATTCAGACGTGGCAAGTGGTAATTTTTTATATCACTCAAAATTTAAAGATATAAAAGTTCCAGAAAAGTTTTCATATTGAAAAATAAATTTAAAATTTTTTTGGAGATCTATAGCAGATAAAGATCTATAGTACACAATGAACACCTTGATATATGAAATCGTCATAAATTTTTATGATTTTCGCCATGACGAATGAAATGTGATCTGCACATATGCCATTGCCGCAAGAAAACAATTTTAAAATATTAGAGATGTAAGTTCAAATTATCACCATTTTTAATAAGTCTTTTTGCAATCTCTCGAATAACACGAGAACCGAAATTAAGCATTTATTAAAGTTTCTGTCGTTTTCAGTGCTTTACAATTTTTCGCTTTGCAATGAAAGTTTTAAAAAATTTTAGGAGTCAAACAAATCACAAAATCTTCTATTGTCTTTTGTTTTTTGTTTTCTCTTTTTTTGAAAGAAATTTTTGCTATTTATGTACCATGTAAGAAGAAAATTAAATTAATATTTTACATAATATACCTGATAACATAAATGCATACATTATATTATATAGTTATGTCCTTACAGTATATAATGATTTGTGTACATAAATAAAAAATTTAATGTGATCAGCGTATAACCGATAGCAAATAATGTGTGTTATCTATTTTAACGAAAGTGTTACAGAAGATTATGAAAATTCTTTTTAAACACTTTTTTCCAATTTAAGGTCGCTAATAAGCATTTAGTTAAAATTTTGGGAAAAATGTAAATTTAGCTCACACCAGAGTTTCAATTTTTGTTGCAATCAGAGTTTTTATGCCAAATTCAAATCTCAAATTCAAATCTTAGAAGTTAAATCTTAAATTAGTTCCGATATTTCCGATTTCTCAACTTTCCGAAAAATTTATGTGTTGGTTATTTTAACACACTACATTCAAATATCAAGTTTCAAGGAAGTTGGTTGATGATTAATCTTTCATATGTAGGAAAATATAAAATTGACCCGGTAAAACAGACAGACCGACAGAAAGTCGGAAAGGCAGACACACAGCCAGACAGACAAATAAACAGAAATACAGACAGACAGACCGACATCCCTTTAAAAATGGTTTATTTAAACTTTCCTACCATTGGGAGTGCGTTCACACCGAAAACTTGATATCTGAAATTTGGTGCCATCACATTACCTCCCTTATTGTATGCAACGGGGTCGGTTAAAACAGCATACAGCTATTTAAAATTTAAAGTATATATTTAAAGTTTTACAATCACACTATATACCAGACGTCCCCAAACTTTTCACCCGTAGACTCCTTGTCGTGTTTTTGAATTTTTGATAGACCTCCTGCTTTCTATGATAGACTTAAATTTCTAACTGTAGTAAGCTACACCCATAATATGAGAAAATTAAATAAAAAACGGATTTAATTAAATTCATTTTTTATATTAAATTCATTAAATATGATTAGTTTAGTTATTAAATTTAAATAATTTAATTAAATTTTAATCATTTAATTATTAAATTTAAATAAAAAGTAAAGTTATTTTCACATGAGCAAAACTAAACAAAAAATAAATTCAATCGTATACATATCACTGGCTTTTCGTGGGATCTCATTTGTATTTGATAGACCCCCAATTTTCTTTCACGTTCGTAGACCCCTAGCAGGTCTATATGGACTCCTGGGGGTCTATATAGACTACTTTGGGAATCACTGTTGTATACAATTTCTTTTTTCTCTCCTCATTTTATTATCATTATTATTACAGGTATGTTACGTATAAGTCGAAAAATTTAAGAAAAATCGACTATCCCAATTATTTTTGACAAGAAAATTTCCTGTTTTTCTTAATTTTTCACTTTCATCCTTGTAAGAAAAACAGGAATTTTAGAAACTCGTCTCCAGGGCAAATAATGTACCAATTTCATATATTGCGTATCATTAAAAATATGTGTTACGTAAATGCTCGCTATATAAGCATACAAAATAATACAGCGAATGTATAAAATAAAAAGCACATGCTTTATTTTTTATATACAAATAAAAATATTTATATATACGTTCATTTCATAACTACATATATGTACATACAAGCAAAAAAATTTTTGGTTCCCATGTGTATATGAAAAAATATTAATATGGCTGACGATATCAAAAGGATGAGTAAATCGTTTGCACTTCTCTAAAATATTTCAAGGATTCTAGTTTTAGTAAAATCAAATTTTTTTCAAAAGGTTTTAAAAAAAAATCAAATTCTTTTCATGTATTATGTACCAACTTACATAACATCTATGTACATACATGTGCATTCGTATGAACTACAGAAAAGAGTACCAGTTTGCATAAGAAAAGTTCAGCTAAAGCGAAAAAAAAAACAAAAGTGTTACTTTAAAAATTTCAGGAATAGAAAAATATCATACTTGCGCTTTCTGAGAAGTAAAACTTTCTTTTAATTACATATTCGTATTGCATTGCTGCACAACTCCATGATCAAATCTTTGTATTTAAAGTTAGAAAATGTATAGAAAGTTTCTAATATAAAATTTAAAATTATTCAAAAGTTGTGACATGTTACTTTCAAAGGTATAAACTGTTCCATGTGAAATTTGTTTTTACACTTTATCATTTTGAGAATACAACTTCTTAAATTTTTCCTCAAAAGTAAATAAACTTGCATTAAATTAAAGGTTTGTAAAGCAGCACAATTTACTCATAGACATAATTGAGGTTAGTTTAAAGCATGCTTTTTACATAATATATTTTTAAAATGTTTTATTGAGGTTTTTTTTTTCTAAATCAGAGAGACGATTTGTTCCAAACGAATTGAGCCATTTGACGAAACCTTAATTACAAAGTTTGATAACTTGTCTAATTCTAGAATAATGATATTTAAATTTAGAAAAGAAATTGATTCAAGATATAGCGGTAATTTTAACGGTAATTTTGTTATAGTAACATTAAGTTACTATAAGTAATTTAAGTAATTTTTAGGACAAATATATTATGCTTAAAGATTAATAAATATAGAAAATTCCAAAAAATACAACCTTCTATGAACGGACGAATGAACTGAGCAAATTTCATTTAAGATCAACAACAAGAAAAAACATTTTTTGTTTTCATTTTAAAGTAAAGCAGAATGTTCATTTTGTATTCATTACGAAATAGTTTTTTACTACTTGGTGTATATTTCTTTCGGGTATGGTTATAGTTAGTTGAAAAGTTTTACGTTATAGATATGTAATTTTATTTAAAGCAATTTTTAAATTTCAATTTATATAAAGCTCTCAGAACATTACTCTAATATCTTCAGTAAAAATAATAATTTTTTTAGGTGTTTGTTGGGCCTTTAAATATATAGATGCAAATATTTTGTTAACTAGATAGGTATTTCGTAAAGAAAATTTTATGGAATCCAAATCTACTTAAGATTTTATTGAAATTAATTTTCTTTTCCAGAGAAAGAAACATTAGTATTTAAAACATAATTTAAATAATGTAATTTATGTAAATATTTATGACCCGCAAATCATTGGAATGGTTCGACTCCGATATTATTTAGATTGTTTGCCGAGATAAATTTTTTTTTTAAATCT